ACAGTTTCAACAAGGGAGACTTCTTCTTCTTCCCAACCTCTATGCAATAACCCATGCTGTATGCCTCGTGGAAAGTCTGAGGGCCTCCCGGCCGCACTCGCACCCAGGCCAAAGGGGAAAATAAACCCCACGTAAAGATTCAGGGCCTGGACGAGATACAGTTGACAAAGTCAACTGTCGGAGACTCCAACAGTCAAGTGTACCCAGCCATGTTCACCGGTCGAACGCACACATTTGTTTGTATGCAGGTACCCAGACAGCATCAGGCCCAAGGGGAAGTCTGCAACTGTTACACAATCCAGGCCCTCTGCTGTGAGTCAATCTGAATGACTGTGAGGATGGGACCCGAGGCCAGACAGCCTCGTCAAACACTACGAATGGACTGGTCTCAAGGTGGTCAAAATTCAGTCTTGCTATGCTGCTTGGACGCTGGCTCGACTGTGACTGGACGCTGGAATTGACGATGGCACGACGCTGGCGAGACGCTGGCTTGACGCTGGCTGTGCGCATGCACTGTGGATGACGCGGTGGGGTTGTGGCAGCATGCTGGCGCTTTCTGTTCTGTGCGCCAGGCATTGCTGATGTGGCGCTGCCACCTGTCTACATTGCTGATGTGGCGCTGCCACTTGTCTACCCTGCTGATGTGGCGCATGCCACTGGTCTGCATTGCTGATGTGGGGCATGCCACTGGTCTACATTGCTGATGTGGCGCTGCCACCTGCCTACATCATGTGGCTGATGTGGCGCTGCCACCTGTCTTCATTGATGATGTGGTGCATGCCACCTGTATCTACATTTGATGTGGCGTTCGCCATGCTGTCTACATGAGGTGACTGGTTGCGACAAGGAGGGAGACGGGATCTGTGGTTGATTGGGATCGAGTACTCACCTGAGGTTGACGTCGTTACTACATTCTGCTATTGTCTTCATGGTCTTCACGAGATAAGAGTGCCACGTGGCACTTCTGTGTGATCAGAAATCAGAACTGGTTACTATTAATGATTGATGACGTGGAGGGAGTAGATGCCTGGAGAAGGAGTGGGAATGGTTGGGCTATTATCGTGTGGTCTTTGATTATTTCTTCCACCTTCTCACTTGTCTATCCTCCCTCGACTCTCTTCGTCTATTGGTAACGAAATACTGTTTCGGATATCACTTCATGATAACTGGAGACTTGTGCAGATCTGAGACAACTGTGGTTTGACGTCTGATAAGTATCTGCCAGACTGGGTTCATTACAATTTGGTATCGTAGCTAATTCCTTCATCGCAATCTGCTGCCAGGTGCTGACGTGGCACCCAGGTAAGTGGGAGGTGCCGCATGTGCAAAACGAAACGTGTTTATTAACGCGTGCGGTAAATACCGCAAGTCTAGACATTGAAGTATTGCATATGTGTGCAGCCTCCCTTGAAGATGATGACGTGGCTGCACTGAAGACTTCGAGATACCGGCGAGAGCTTCGTTGGCAACAGGCTGACGTGGCGCTGGTCAAGAGAGAAATCAGGACCGTTGATGAGGTGCACTGCCTATGTGGCATGACGTGGAATGCTGATACTGGCAAGGCATGGTCTGACGTGGCACGCACCTGTGTTGTGATTGCATGCTGTTGAGGCGCTGCGTAATTAGAGCTGAAGTGGCATACCAGTGTTGTGTGTTGCAGGCATGCATTGCTGACGTGGCATCCCTCCTCTCGTAGACCTTTTGGTCCTTGACGTGCTGACATGGCAGACTCTTTCGAGCTGCTGTGTTGCCATTCCAGGAGTGACACGTGGCATGCATAACATGCTGCTGAGGGTAAAGTGTTAATTGTGCACTTGCGTGCCGGCGGACGGTACAACTTCACGATTTGCTGTGGTGTCGAGTGCTGGCCCTTGTATTTGGTTGCATTGCTTCTGCAGATGGTACAGCCGTAGAGGGAGGAAGCTAACCATTGATTGTGCTGTTGTGTTGGCTGACATGCTTAGCTGTTGGTTGTTCTGTGCTTGCTGTGTATACTTACAAGTGTGCTGTTTCTTGATCTGTGGCTGCAGTACCTGTACACTGACTGTAGGACGTCGTCACACAGGAAACAGACCGCAAAGTTAGATTAGGAAAATAATTGAGAACTTGTTTCTTCTTATCCATTTAATCTTTTCTTGCTGTAAAAGTTGCCTGTGCCGCGGAATTTATTTTTGTTTTTAATTTTATTTATTGTGCAGCATCTACACGTAGGGAAAAATGAATTCTCTCTGTACACTGACTGTAGGACGTCATCACACAGGAAACAGACAGCAAAGTTAGATTAGGAAAATAATTGAGAACTTGTTTCTTCTTATCCATTTAATATTTTCTTGCTGTAAAAGTTGCGTGTGCCACGGAATTTATTTTTGTTTTTAATTTTATTTATTGTGCAGCATCTACACGTTGGGAAAAATGAATTCTCTCTGGAAATGCCTGCGTGCCTCCATCTTGACTCTGTTCAGTCTTCTTTTCTTCCCTATCCCTCTCATAGTCTATGCCAATGAAGAAGGGGGGGATCTTAAGACGAGTGGTCAAATTGATGCAAGAAGACAAACTCTGATTGGTTTTCTTCGCCACTTGCTTGGCGAGATACACGCTGCCAGTCCAGAAGTTGAACGGCATGTTCACGGACAGCTCAATCTGCTTGGTGCAGAAAAAGAGCTGCAGGCCTCTGAAACTGCCGTTCAGATGATGGAAACCGGTAAGAAAGTGTAGCAGCTCATAAAGCAAGGGCGAATGGCCCTTGACCGGTATGTCGCCGAGGGTTTTGACAAAATGGAACAGGAAAGGAAGAAGAGGAAAGAAGAGGAGAAAGAAAAGAAAGTGGAACCGCAACTGTCTGTGGAGGTAATGGAGGAGAATGTCAAACAACTAGAAAATACATTAAGGGAAGAAAAAAAGAAAGATTGAAGAGTTCTGGAGAAGAAAGGAAGAAAAAGAGCAGCAAGACAAAATGTTAAAGGAAATGAGAGAACGACTTCATTTTGAAGTCGAGACTGATCTTTCGTCAGTGTTGCAATCTATCATGGCTTACCTTGTTCATCTCGAAAGGAAGATAGACACTAACACCGTCTCATTAGAAACTAAGATGAGACTAATGAAAGGTAAGGATAAGGTAAGTGTTGAGGAGGAGACAAAGAGGGAAGCGGACAGGAAACCACCCCAAGAGAAACTCATGAAAGATGCAATACGGAAGGTAACACCAGATAAACCCAGACCCTCGAAGAAAGAATTTGAGGAACCGGTAGAGGAGGAGGAAGCACCCACCGAAAAGAACGAAGAACCGGTGAAAGAAGCCAAAAAATAAAAAAAGAAAGAGAAGGTCAAAATGAAACTGCCATTCACATACAACAACAAGAAAGATGAAAACTTGTTGTTGTGGATCGCAAAGATCCAAACTTACTGTGGGACTGCACCCGTCGAGCCTGAGAGTCGGGTCGCTTTCTCCACGTCGTGTCTAGGGGGAGTGGCTAAGGAGTCGGTGTTGTCTGAAGCCAACGTCGCTGGCTTCGAAGATATAGGTGAGTGGGCTAAGACTCTGACGTTGAGGTAGTTTCTCTAGAAAATCAAGGAGAGATTCCGCGACAAGACCACAACTGACAAAGCTTTTGATGAACTCACCAGGATAGGCCAAAAACGTTGGACTTTTGTTGATGCTCTGTCGCGTGAGGCTGATCGTCTTGTGCAGCTACCAGGATTGAACCTGCAAGATAATCAGGTATTGCATATCTACTCACGTGCCTTGCCTGAGCCCATTCGTGGACAGCTCGTGGCAGAGTCCAAGTTTGGACAGTATAATTATCGGCAGTCTCGAGATCTTGCTCTTCAACGAGAGCAAATGACCGCTCAGGTTAAACCACCAGCACCTCTCCCTGCTTGAGGAAATCGAAGCGGCCGTTAATGCGCCGTGTCGCGCGGCGTACCCACCGGCGTGCAACCGGTAGTCCCCAAAAAACGGGGCCAAAAAAAAAAAAAAAAAAAAAACGACGACGAAAATGAAAAGTAAAATCCTACAACAAACAGGCGCGGCGGGGAGGGGACGGGGAGGAGGAGAGAAGGACAAGAAAGG